ATACATATATTAATGTTGCTGTCTTTCTACTCAAGGTAAGCAAAATACAAATGTTGCATTTTGGTCTTTTTTATTTTGTTTTGTTTTTTATAACCAAAAAGACTCAGACATGTCTCAAGAAATTCATGGCACAGCCCTGGGCTGTGGGCTCATTTTCCACGGAAAAAAAGGTGGTTAAACCCAGACAAGACAGCATCATGATTTTTGCCTTTTATAAGATGCTGGCCTCTGTGGCCTTGCTCTCCTTACTGTTTAATCCTCAGAACACACCTGTGAAGAGGGTTCTGTTCCCACATGTAGCAGCGGATGCAGGTTTTGTGGGGCCTGAAATTTATGCAGTTTGGGTGGCCCTCTTAAAAGAGAAAACAAAACATAACAAATCAGCATGTCCAACGCGATCCAGCACCACTCAGCGCCCAGTGGAACTGACTAAGTGGCCATGCAGCTGGAAGGAGACCTCTTTCTCAGCCAAGAGTGGTTAAATTATCTTACTTTTATAAATTGTGCAAAAAACACACAAGCATATAAACATTGCATAAATATTGCCTAAGTTTTCCTGTACGGGGACCAAGAAAAGCTACCTGGAAGCGTGTGCATCACAGAAAAACTCGCCTCATGTGTGGCCATTTCTCAGGGAAGAACTTGGCAATCTGGCATTGTTGAACGCTTTTTTGGATGTCATGATACCGTCATGACCCTGAGGAATGGCTAGAAGAGCTGCAGTATGCACACTTCTCTATGAGAAATGATGGGTTTTTAGTTACACAAAATAGTAGATACTATTTGTTGTTATGAAACTGCTTTAAAAATATCATTAGCAATATTGAATGTGACCAGTCCATAACTCATGTGAAGGCATTTGATAAGAGTCTGCAATCAGTGATGACTAGAGTAAATTCTTTTATCCCTTGTATACAAATGCAAATTAACCAGTATGGATTCTTAAAAGAATTACAGTTCATTTGAAAGTGCTGTGGATGGACCCCATTTTTATATACCTTTTCTGGAGCCAGTTTGCTTTTAAATACCCCCTTTCTCTCTTCTCTCTCTCTCTCTCTCTCTCTCTATATATATATATATATATATATAGCATTTTCCTGAGATGCTGTTCTTAAGTTGTATAATACAAAGAGCCTGACACATCCCTAAAAGTCTGCCAAATAAATAATGAAATAGAGATAAATCAAATAATTAGAAGTAGAGGTGTAGGTTATGTGGCAAGGTTGAATAGGAATGAGACAGTGAGACGAAGTGTAAATTCTCACTGAATTCCTTCTCATTTAATTATTTTGTGTCTGAGACCCACACTCCTCCACCCAGCAACTGTATCTTCTCCCTTCCTTTTTTTTTTCCTCTTCCTCCTCTCTTCTCTATAGGAATTTATTTAAAATCATGATGATACCTAAAATGAGCGTTCTGGGACTGAAAGGCTTTGCTTTTTGCAGAACTGAAAACAGCAGCATAATTGATGTGACGGGAGGTCTGTTGTTAAGTCTCAGCATCTTGGCCCTTCAGAAGGCTTCTCTTGATGAATGACCTCATACGTACAGTGCTTGTCAATCAGCAAGACAAGGTATGCTATATTCCTGGAAGAAATTTGGGAACCAGATAAGAATCTACAAATTAAGCATAGCTATTCACTGGAAAATGGTTGAAATGGGTGAAACCATTCCTCATTTTAAGTCTGACTGATAAATGTAGATTTAAATTGGTTTATTTTAGATCATAGTTTTGGACAAGATTCAAAATATTAATTAGATCCCTGTAAGAAGAAATATGAGAGTAATCAGGTCATTTGCTCTAGATTTGATATTCTTTCCCCAAAGTGGTTTGGAATGCTATTTAAGGAACATGTAAAAAAAAAAAAAAGTGATAAACACCATGAAAGAAAGTACCTTCCCAGAATCCTGTTTCAAATATATTCTCTTTTAGATAAAATTATTTCAGGGGTATCATATAAAGCACTTTGGTAACTCATTACATCTCTAGCATGGCACTGTTGGACTGTATTTTGCTTTATTATTTATATTGTTTATATTATTTATATTTATATTATTATATTTATAAAAGGACTTGATCAGTTTACGTAGAAAGACAAACATTAAAAACTATAAAATTCTAATCGTAATAATAATAACAACAACAACCTGGTTGAGGCAAGTAATATCATATGAATACAAAGCTAAACTCTAAGCTTCCTCACCACCGTGAAGCAGGGGAAGCAGGAGTTCCCATAACTCTCATTTCCATGACTCTCATCGTCTAGTAGAAGAAATCATTTAGGAGAAAGTCATTCCTGGGCCACACTCTGTAAGGAACCTTGCCAAAAGGGACTTTATATGAGGAAAATATAAAAGTCTAAGCTAAGAGGGACTTGCCCAGCATTCTGAGTCAATATTTTGTCCAAGCAGAACTAACACACACACACACACACACACACACACACACACACACACACACACTCTTTGGTGAATAGCTTGAAATTGCTATTGTATTAAGTCAGTACCGAGGCTCCTAGAATTTTCTTTTTGTTTTCACACTGGCCACTGAAACCAAACCAAATACAACATCAAATCTTGGCCCAATTTTCTTCTCTAAAATGGGAGTAACTAACAGCAAGGAGTCTGGAGGACTGTGGAGAAAATCAAATGACTTAATTTCTATAAAGCCACACATTGCTGTGTCCATTTTGACATAGCTTCCTTGGCCAGGCATTTTCCTCTCCCCACATGCATCGTGTTTAGTGGTGACACTGCTTTTGTAACGATGCATACTTAGCATCACACAAAGCAAGCGATACACGCTACGGATCTCACCATCACTGCCGTTTTAAGTAAATGTGCCTATCTGAGCGCAAAGGCAATAGGTAGAGTGGTTAGAACACTCAGTCGACCCCAGGGGATGTGAGGGCCAGAGCTGGTATGGCTGAGAGAGCTAAGGTACATTCCTCCTACTGTTTGCTAGCACCTCAGGCAGCTAGAGTGCAGTCTGTTTCAGGTATCTTGTTAGACTGGGAAAGTTAGCTGCCTGGGGTTGTCAAAGCCAACCTCCCGAGGCAGAAGCCTGTGGCTGAACTCCACTGGGGCAAAGTGGCAGGCGGAGAAAGCCTCTGGAAATAAAAGCAGGGATAACCTTGGGGAATAGACCCTGCCGGTCTTTCCCCATCCCCTCCGCCTTCCCTCAGGCTTCCAGTGAGCTCCGGTCTGATCGGAATTTTCATTTCACATTTTCCCTGTTTCTCTTACTTGGAACCATGATTTCTGGCCCGCCTCTACGGACTTCTTTTTCCTTTTGCTATCTCCATCCCTGGCTCACTCTTAGCTCATATCTTCCCTCCCTTCCCCATTGGCCCCCTTCTTTTCATTTACCAAGCACTCTCCTCTGTTCCTCCATCCCCCCTCCTATTCTTTATCTGTTACCTAGTGTCATTTCAGGGCAAAGCACGAATGAAAATGGATGCTTTCTTACTTCTTACATCAATCACACACACATAGCCCTGTGCTGATATTCTCAGTTGAGCTAATGGATCCCACAAAAGAGCAATTTGCTCCATTCTCGGTGGTTATATTAAGTCCATTATTTAATTTATTCCTACAGCTACTGCACTCAGTGTCTTGCCAGAGGCATCTCTCTTACAGATGGAACAAGAAGCCAGAAGATTAAGGGATTGAGCTGAGGTCCAGCGAGAGGTAGTGGCGTTGATATAAAACCTGACCCAAATTCCTTAAATCCCTGAATATATTATTTTAACTAATACACTTCATTCACAGACTTCACTATTCTATGTGAAACCAAAAACAGCGTTAGAAAGCGAGCTTTTGTTTGCAGTTTCTGACTGGGAAGACTTTTCAGTGGTTACACATTTGCCAGCAGGCGTGACTCAAGGTCACTGAAACCCTGGGTAGCTGGAGAAATAGGAGTGAGTTAAATAATTAATTTAAATAGCAGCAATGTCCCTCGGGATTTCTTCAGGTAGCTAATCTAGTACACCGCCTGGTCCCCTATCGGAAAACAGAAGTGGCCATCACTATGACAGCTCTGGTAAACAGGGACAATTGTGTAGTTGGTTTCCCCATTGGAACTTAAGGTAACTGAGGTCACTGCTCTTAAGGGAAAAAGTCTGTAGCTTGGAATTTCTTTTCTCTGACTTGCCCAGGATATTTTGTTTAATCACCAAATCTTATGCTCAAATTGCGGACCAAGCCTGACTGAGCATAGAGCTCCATTGGAATCCACAAGTCTAACCTCACTGGCTTTAATTTAGGAAAGAAAAACAGCTTCTTGGGTGTCCTCAGGGTGAGAGGTCACTTTCAGGGCTCATTAACCTGGTATTTTCTTTCTGTAATGGTTTTTGTCATAGTCACCAATCTCTTCCTAGAGATGAATAGTCAAGAGCTCAAAGAAATAGATTGAGAAAGATTAATACACAACAACAGAATTCTAGCATCATTATTATCTGCAGTAATTTAGAAGACATTGGATAAAAGCAGCTCTCAGGCGCCGTGTCACTGGGTAATAATGACTAGCATTTAATAACAATAATGAGCATTTATCAGGCACTTGTGGCCTGTTAGGTACTGATTCATCCCTTCCTATTTCCCTGAAGTCAATTGTAGGAGACTTTTGGGGTTTTGTTTCTTTGGGCTTTATCGGGTAGTGATGGTGGAGGTGGTGGTGGTGGTGGTGGTGGTGGTGGTGGTGGTGGTGTGTGTGTGTGTGTGTGTGTTTATTTTTCACAAAGGTAAAGGTGTTCAGTAACTTGCCTGAGGCCACACAACCACTCAAACCACCACATTTGGGCCCCTAACTAATTCTCCTAATGGCTCCTGGACTCTACCCCAGGAATTAGAGGTATGGCTGTTATGGCTGGCCGCTCCTAACTAACACTCCTAACACTTCTCGCTTCTCCAGGCTCACACAAATGGCTACCTGTACAGTTATGGCTTTAATGTAGCTGGATTATGGCTTTGCTGTTCCCAGAGGGTATGCTCAGCATTCCTTTCTGTTTCTCCCTAGTCCACGTATTGGTTTCAAGCCCCATTGCTGTGTCAGAGAAGCCTAAGGAAGAAAAGGGTTGTTTTAACTCACCGTTTGGGGGTACAGTCCTTAATGGTGGGGAAATGACGGCAGCTGTCATATCGCATTTGCAGTCAGCAGGCCAAGGCGGTATGTGTTGCTGGCCAGCCCACTTTCTCCTCGGCTACTACTTTCCCTTCTGCATTCCTCTTCAGGTAGGTGTGTGTGTGTGTGTGTGTGTGTGTGTGTGTGTGTGTGTGTGTGTATAGTTGAGTGTGTAAAAATGAATATGTGTTTGTGTGGTACATGCACATTGTTTGAAGGACAGAGGTCAACCTCTGGTGCCATCTGGATTTTGAATCCAGGCCTCTCACTGTGATCTGGGGCCCATGAATTAGGCTACACTGGCTAACCACTGAGTCCTAGGAACCTTCCTGTCTCTGTCTTCTCAGCACTGTGATTACAAGTACACATCACCATGCCTATTTTTTTATTATTATTATTTTAGGGCTTTTATTATTGTTTTTGTTGCTATGTGAGTGCTAGAAATCTGACAAAGGTCCCCACATATCCATGGCAAGTATTTTATAGACTGAGTTGCTGTCCCCCCACTCTGGTTCAAATATTATTATTATACATCAACACAGATGGGCTGCTGTTTGTTTGAATTCAGCATTATTTCTCTGTTGAGCCTTTCCCCTCTCCCATCCATGCCTGGACTCTCATCCTGTTTTTCACTTTTTGTGGGGCTCCTCCTTTCTTCCATTTCAAAATATCTTTTTACTTTATCCTCAAAACCTGCTAAAGCCAGGAGCAATCCTTGATGCTTCCCTGGGCTGAGTGAACTAGTTTGTTCTCCATATTTACATCTTAATTTCACACCCAAGTGACCTAGCGGCAGAGGAGTTTGACAGAATTACACTAGGGTTGTTTACTATTATGGATCACTGGGTTTTCAATACTTTCACCTTTAGGAAGTAGAAAGTATTTCACTTGAAGAATAAAGCCCTACCAGCATTCTTTCAGTGTAGCTTTCAACACATTTGCTTGACCAGTGAAGATTTCTCTCCTGCACTGGCAGAAACACTACCCTGATTTTTTTATATACAAAAAGGGAGTGGAAAAGGATTTTAAAAGAATAGAAAGTCCCAAAAGGCTACATGGCTATAAGGAAAGGCTAGGGAATGTCAGTTTCCAACCACAAAAAAAAAAAAAAAAAAACTGTAACGGCCAGGCAACATCTTCATAAGTCACAAAAGGAAGAAATGATATTCATGGCGAAGCACAAAGGATAAAACTCTAGCATCATCATTAGACTTCTAAATTCAATAATCAACAAACTTGTTGATGCTAATCACATGGCAATAAACAAGACAAACAGACAAAGTCCCCACTCCCTTACTTTGCAAGCCATTCTCATTAAAACCACCCCAGCCACCACGCCTTCAGTGTAGTCATGTGACCAGCGAGTGCTGTGATAGGACACAAGTTCTCCAAAAGGAAATATTGTTCAGTTGTAGCATTGACCAATTTCCATAGTGTAAATACTCTCACCATGGCTTATTCCAAGTCCCAAAGGTGAAGTCACTGGGGAAATTGGAGCGACCATTTATCCTCTGGGGCAAACTAGGTCTTGATCAGAAACAGTGGTGCCCCAAAGTAAGAGGCACTAGGTTTGTGGATGAAGAAATTCTAACATTTACTGGAAAGCCACTTGTCATGGGGTTCCTTTGGAAAGAGTCTCCCTGGTAATTTAATCAGCTCAAAGCAGAGAAGACCAGAGTAGAGGAGGGAAGAGCTAAGCTGTGGGGTCATCACTTGGCTCCTTGGATAGGATCAAGTCTGAGCCTCCTGACTACTTATATGAGACAGTGAATCCCTTCTCAGCCTTGTCTCCTTCCACCTTTAGCCGTTGTTTTTTGATCAGTCATTAATTTTCCTTTTATTAAACCTGCCTAAAGCTGGGTGCAGTGGCACACGCCTATAATCCCAGCACTCTGGAAGTCAGAGGCAGGAGGATTGCTGTGAATTCAAGGCCAGCCTGATCTACAGAGCAAGTCCAGGATAGCCACGTCTATACAGAGAAACCCTGTCTCAAAAAAATAAAAATAAACTTTGCTTATATTGGGTTTTGCTTTATTAAAAAAAAAAGCTTTTCAAAAGAACACTCCAGCAATGACAAAGTGCATTATCTCCCACACCTTCCACAGTTCACTCAGTCTAAAAAAACTTAAACTTCTCTGTCTCTACCAAGAAACCTGAACTGGTTACTGTCTTGTAAACACCAGACTCAGACTCAAGTGTTCAAAGTTGGAATAGCATCCTCTACTAAAAACACTCTTCCTATGTCCCTGCTTTGCATTAACTCATGAATTCAGTACATGCCTGACCAGGGACACGAAAGATGGTTACATGATTCTTGCACACATGACCTTGTGTTCTAAAGAGAGAAATTGACAACAATTAAACACAAAGATGAATGACAGATCATTACATTGTCACCTTGAACTCAGCAATTTTGGAGAACAGATTGAGTATATTTAAGGAATAATGACAGGGCTTGTTGTTTCACATGGCATAGTTTAGGGCAGAGAGGGCTACATGAAACGAAAGCTGGAGCCAGGGAATATTAGGAGCATGAGCAGGCATGTGGTAGTCGTGTTCTAGATCTGTCAGAAGGGGCAGCTGGAGCCCAGCAGGCATGAGGAGGTTGAAGGATATCTGGGGACCTGGTTAGGTAGAACATTGTTGGCCTCCAGGATTTTTAATTTTCTCTGTACCTAATGGGAGCATTCAAAAGATGAATCCCTGTGGTCCATCTACAGAGAAAGGACTGTAAGGATGAGTAGGAGAATCCATTGAGTGCCTGTTGTAGGAGGGAGAGGTCACCCTGGTTCTAGGTCTGTGGAGGAGCAGCATCATTACTTAACCCTGTCTTTCACTTGCTGCATCCCAGCCTAGATGCCTGTTCACCTGTGCTCTTGTTGATGTAGTACATACTGTACCTCCTCTCGGGCAGGACTTCCTAGGACCTACTCTCTGAGGCAGAAGGGTTTTAGAAATATTCCCAGTATAGTCTGTCATGGAGAAGGGAATGAGGCAGGGCTGAGCAAAGAAAGTTCATCAGCAATATGCAGAGTCTTGAGTTTCATATCTGAAATGACCCTTAGAGCTGTCCTGGGTTGTGATGAAAGACAGAGTTCTTCATACCCTGAACAGTAATCAATCATCTGGCAAAACCCTCAAAGGAAGAAGGCATGGCCTTGGGTGAAGGGAGTTGACAGCTGGGGGATCTTTGTTCGCAGCCTTCCCAATGACTTGAATAGTAAGACCATTATTCTTGAAGGGGGTGTCTTGGCACCCATATCATGGCTTCCACCACACTGCAACATTTCGAATTTGTCAGTGGAGCTATCCTGCTTTAATTTCTCACTCCTCTTGCTTAGCCTACAGTCTGATATTCTGTCATCAGAGTCACACCCCATGGTCAAAGCCAAGTGCTTCCTTATTGCCTACAGAGTAGCAGAAAAGTCTATGCTGTGTAATAGCACAGCACTCCGAACCTTCTAAAAGGCACATACCATCCACCTAATGCTTGTCTCATCATCTGGGCAGGCAAGCTCATTAGAACACCTTAAATTCCACAGTCCAACCCAAGACTCTTTCCTCCTACTTTACTTAGCAAAATCTTATTCTTTAAGACTAGTTCAAATGCTGCCTTCCTCTTTTGCCTCTGCTTCTATCCAAGTTTCCACTGTCAGAGGAGAGTGTGACTTGGTAAGAGCAGCAGCATGTCCTTGTTATTTAATCTCTCTTAGTCCCTAACTTCACAGTACACAGCAGCCACTCAGTATGTCAGTTTATCTCGGGCCATCCCAGGTTTTGTTTTTGTTTTTGTTTTCCCAGTGCCTAAATGACTCCCTAAGGAGTGACTGAAAGGAAGAATTCTAGACCCAAACAATTTATATTCAGGTTTGGCTCCATCTTTTAACAGCTCTAGAATTCTAAGCAAATTGCACGTTATGTTTCAATTTGCCCACCTCTAAGATTATGGTAATAATAATAGTTGGGATCAAATTAATTAGTCTAAGTAGAATCCTAAGAGCAATGGCTGCCCTTCATAAGCATATAGACAAGCGTTGGAGCGTGGCTTTACCTAGAGATTGCTAAAGGTACAAACTTTAGTTATATTAAGGACCCTTCTGAGTCACCAATTCCTATAGTTGCCCACAATCTCATCCTGAGTGCTGTTGTTTCTGCAATTCATAACCTTGATGAAGGGCCCTTTCACAGCTGCTCTGTGGGGAAATCTGTTCAGAGGGCTCTTGTTTTCTCTCAGGAACATTCTTTAATGAGTGAAGATATTCTTGCAAAACACTCTGGAATTCTGTGCTTTCCTGGGGCCCTTTCAATCTGGACGGAGACCTGGTTTTATAATGAAGATTATGCAGTTTTCCAGTGTGGAAATTTTTTGAAATGCACAAAGCATCATATTTATAAATGAATAGATTCACAGACACTTGCAAACTGAAAACAACCCTAGAGATTTCTTAGTCCAGGGGACAAGAAAACAAGAAGATTAAGTGACTTGCCTAATTCTCACTAACTTATCCAAGTTCTTGAGGGACAAAATTACTCAATAACATTATCCATTTCAGCCAAAAGATGCTATTTCATTCAGCATGTATAATTTGGACCAAAATAGACCTAACTTGTTAAATCTTGTCAGAACAAAAAGAGGAATTTGTTTATGTCTAGGACATTGTTTTACTTAAAATTTATCCTGATCTAGCATAACTTCTTCTTTGTCTTATAATTAACTTTTTCATATGAGGACAATTATCACTAGTATTTATTCAACTATATCTTCAATAATTTACTCAAAGGAAATTTAATTAAATTGTCTTTTATGTACCACATTAGGAACTAAGAACTGGAAACTTTTAAATGAATGAACCCTAGTGCTCTCTCAATGTATCACATCTATTGACTCTGTATCTACTGGGTTCGTCAAGGTCAAGCCACTTCAGACCATGGGTTCAGGCTAGGATGTGATCTTCAAAAGATAAGCATTAAATATTGTTAGTCAATATTTAGATTCATGATCAAGTTCAGAGCCTAGTTATCATGTCCATGGCATGAGAAGTGTTCTCAAGAAACAAATAAATAATATGCTCTAGTCTCCTTCTGTTCTTTGTTCTCTAGAGGTTGAGTTTTAGAAACAATCCAGGGTCAAACATGAGTCATCACAAATTTTATACCACGATATTATGTTATAATATAATTTTAATGAATGTGTGGAAATGTTACAATGCTTTGTTCACTAGTGTTAGGTGAGAAAATATATCACAGTCAAACAACTCTGCCAAGTTTGGGGGTGACACAAACATTAAGATTCCTTTTAGTGTGCTTCTTTTCCTGAAACTTTAACATGTCTAAAAGGAGAGGGAGCATTTGACAAGGTCAAAGTCACTTACCCTGTGTTTGCCAGGCACTGCATGAATACTTCAGACCAAGCTCAATTCTGTGTCTATAGGCTATCATAAACAAAGTATTGTTTTATCGACTAACACATTATTTTATTGCTATAGTTTAAGCCTCCCTTATTTTTTATATTATTAAAGAGAATAAATTATTCAAACCATGTATGTAAGACTCTTATGTGTACTTGATAATCATTATTAAAGCACCGTCAGCATCACTTTCCAAGCAAGTCTGAAAGAGGCTCAGACCTCTACCTTTTGCATTAGGAAGCAATTCCATTTGTTTACATGCTATCAAGAACCTGCACATTTTAGCTTCTGCTTCCTTTCTCATCTTCTCTCCCACCATTCTCCTATAGTCTAGCCCTTGACCCACAGCTGGGCTTGCCGTTTGGAACCTCACACTTATTAGTTCACTGGAAGAGAATGGACCCCTAGAGAATGGAGTCATACAAATCACCCCCCCCAAGAGATTAGTGTGTAATGCACAATTGACCCATCCATTCAAACTAGCCAGATGTTGCTGTGGCTTGTGACCTTGTTTTGGAAAAGGAGTCATTGAGAACTTCTGAGCTAGAATCTGCGCCCAAATATAAATCCTGATTCTGCTTACTAACTGGGTGATCTCAGGTCAGAGGACCAGTGGACTTTCTAGTGTCTATTCCCCAACAGAAAACTGGGGATAATGATAAACTTTATATGCCTGGGTTATTGTGTGATGACAATTAAATGAGAAAATATACCTCTTGCTTATCATATAAATCAGAATCCAGTGCACAGTAAGACTTCAGACAATATTAGCTATTGTTTCTAGAACGGAAACCTACCAAAATAAGTGTAAAGGGAATTAGTGTTAGACATTGTATTTTTCAAGATGTATTGATATTTTAAGTTCCTGTTGATTACTTTATCCATTCAATAATTACTCACACTGAAATAATTTCAAACATCACCAAAGCTCCTTGGCAGTCCCTCATCCTATTGCATGCATATGCAAATGAATGCATGAGTGGACATGGAAATGCAAATTCACAAATAAATCTATATTTTCACACTTACCCAATTTTCATCACTCCTCTCCATTCTCCAGCTATCCCTTTGTCTTCAACTTAAAATGCTTAAAAAGTGATCAAGACGAAGTTCCTAACTTCAGAGCTCTTTCGCTTCCTGCCTTCTAGTCTGTCAACTCCTCTGCTTCACATAGTTTCAACCATGTCTTCTTCAGTTGCTCTCCATCTTGTTTTTGAGACACTTTCTTTGAACCCAGACTTCCTGATCCTGCTACAGTGGCAGCCAGCAAGCTTTAGGAGTCTCCCTACCTTTGTCTCCACAGCCATGGGGTTAGAATTGCATGCCACCGCACATGGCTATTCCATCTCTCTTTCCTTACACATTCTAAACTCCTCATCCCGTGCAGGGGTCCTTCAAGCTGTTTCCTAGAATCCTTCTTCCCATCCCTACTCTTTGCCCTGACTCTGATATACTGGCCTCAGAGATTCCTTCCAGTTGCCCAGGTTTTCACCATAGTTGCAATCAAGCGATCCTCTTTACTGTGTTCTTCCTTAGTCAAATCATGCTGAAAGACCAAGAGGACAAGGGCCTTCTCTTTTGTTTACTCCAGGTCTGTCTGCCAGCTGACACACTCCATTGCAGTTCCATTTGGCAGAGGAAAATTCAAACTCATGTCTTCCTAATTCTTAGTGTAGGCCTTACACCACCATCACTACCCCAACACATAGTAGTTTCTACAATCTGCATGTCTACTTCCATCATTGCCCTTAGTGTAAGCTATATCCACTCTCAGCTTTCTATCCTAAGCTCTATTCAGTCCTTACCTGTAATAATTTATTTTTCATCTTATCAAGGCAGCCCTCATTGTTCTGCCTTTGAGCAGGGGCTTTCTCTGACATGGGCTCCATTGCCTGCTCTTTGATCACTTCCCCCTGGTGGGGGGTCCTTTCCAGGCCACAGAGAAAGAGGATGCAGGTAGTCCTAATGAGGCTTGATAGATGGGGGTCAGTTGGTAGGAGTGGAGGGCTTCCCCTTTTTGAGGACTAGGGGAGGAGGATAGGGAGAGAGAGGCAGGGAGGGTGAGACCAGGAGGAGACAAGGGAGGGGGCTACAATCGAGATGTAAAGTGAATAAATTATAAACAAAATTATTCAAATTAAAAAATATTCCCAACCAAAATGTAGATCTTCATCTTGTTTTCTGAGAAACATCAGTTCCCAGACCCCCTGAAGAGCCATAAGTATCTCATACAAAATGATATAGAACATTAGTGTAACGTGTGTGTGCACTTTAAATATATATCTGTATTATTTATAAGGAAATGTAAATTCTACAAAGATAGTTGTTCTGTTATTGTTGTTTAAGTAATAATGATCAGAGAAAAGTCTATATATTTTCACTACTTAAAAACATTTTTTTTCAGGCCTGTGAGATGGGTCAGTATACTGAGCTGGAAAATGCTCTGTACTGCACACCTCTTGCATATCATCTCTACTTAAGCATGCCCTCCAACTACAGGCTCATCCTGTTCCTGCTTCTGAGGCCAGTCCCGTCCTTTGGAGAAAGTTAAGCTGGGTTTGGATGACTTGAGTGGGCCAGTGTCATCACTTTCGCCCCGACATTCAGAATAGTAGAACTGAAGAGGAGCCTGACTAAGTCTGTTTTTTCATCTCTCTCTGGCCTAAGCTTATGTGTGTTACTGGTGTTTTCACTTCAGTGGACACAGAAGTTCAGAGGAATGTGAAAGGGGAAGAAATTTTGGGCACACACCCTAACCCTGGTCTCTTAGCTATGCTACCCTATCAACTTCCTCTCTGAGCCTGCTTCCTCATCTCTACTTTAGGGACAGTATTTCAAGCTTAAGGTTGTGAATGGCAAAGAGCCTCCTGCTGGTCTATGTCACCATCACCATCTGGCTATCCCCATATATATCTATATATCATCTGTATATCTATAGATCATCTATATATCTAATCTATATATCTGTCTATATCTATATCTATCTATCTATCTATCTATCTATCTATCTATCTATCTATCTATCTATTTATCTATCTATCTATCTACCTACCTACCTATCGAGGGGTAGTATATACAGTATTCTGCTCATGAATTTGACTAGCTAACTTTTCCCTACCACTCCATAGACACATTCAGCCTGTCTACCAAGACGCTCATTGACGCAGAGTTAGCTAGACTTCCTGGTGCTGACTGCATGTGTTGGAATTCCACTTACCTTGCCCCAGTCTACACAGTCATTGTTAGCCTCTGCTGTCTTTCCCCACTCCCTCTGGGTCAGCACATTACCCCAAGCCTCGTCTTCCCCAGCAGGGCCTGCACACAGCTTCTCTCCAGAGGCAAGGGTCAGCATGATCTAACCTGATAGGCCCACATCCCTAGCTCTACCACTGCCTTGGGTCAAAGCCTTGGGAAGGGCAGGAGAGCTTGTACCTCCCTGGGCTCTGCTCAGCTAACAGGAAACCTGAAATTACAACAGGCATATCTTTCGATGCAGAGCTTGCTTGAATTTTCTTGCTTCCACTTGACTGTAATGTGAGCCAGCACTGGGAGCCATAGAAACAGGACACCATTCAAAAAGCAAACAACCCTAAGTGCCAAGAGTCAACACGCCACACAGCCTCCAGTGGAGGAGGCTGGGTCTCCAGGTTGGCCATCGCTTTTCAGACACTGACATGACATCAGACAGCTTCTTTGGCAAGTACCACAGTGCTGTCCGGTGGGCAGGGACTTACTTGGACACAATGGTTATTTGTCTGTGATAAGAAAAGATCAAGCAACCAAGGACATAATTATTTCTACCTGATGTTTTCCTGCATACTTGTTGTGGGAGGGATTTGAAGGAAAATCCACATGCAGCTCAAGCTCAAACTTGTGAAACTTAGTAAAGCAGGATTCTGACAACTCAGTTTTTAATTAGAAATGGATATCTGGACTGAGTCCCAAAGTGCCTCCATAAGCAAAACCATAGATTGAACCACAAGGCATTTGTCTGAGATAAAATTGAAACTCATTCGTCAAGCTGTCAGGGGAATCGATGATTTGAACCGACACTGATGACATAAACAGATACTCAAGGTTATGAGAGTTTTGTGAAAAGCTCAAAGCATTCAAAAATACCAGTTGAAAAGACTACTGTGATTTCATTTCTGAACATCTGGCCATGGTATCCGGCCAGCTTTCTCACCTTTCTCTCTTTTCTTCTAACTCTGACTTCTAGAAGGTTTTTACAAGCAAAAGCGAGCAAGCAAACAACAGAGTCTACAATTGATGAGCCCCTTCATATCACCGAACACCCAGTGCATGGCAGTGAGTAGCCTTTTCTCACTTTTGCAGAACAAGAAGTAAGCTGGAGGGGGGCAAGACAGAATTGCCTGTTTTCCTAGTTGCCTCTGTGTGCTGGAGAACTGCATGTCGACTTGACACGAGCTAAAATTACTGGAAAGGAGGGAACCTCAATTGAGAAAATGCCTTCTTAAAACTGGGCTGGCTTCAGGCAGGCAAACAGGTAGTTTTCCTAGTTAACGGTTGACAGGGGGAGGTCCTTGCTCACTGTGGGCAGGGCCATCCCTGGGCTGGTGGTGGTCCTGGGTGCTCTATGAAAGCAGGCTGTGAAAACTAAGGAACAAACCAGTTAGCAGCACCCGTCCATAGCCTCTATAGCAGCTCCTGCCTACAGGTTCCTGCCCTGTTGGAGTTTCTGTTCGGGATCCCTTTTGGTGATGGACTAACAATGTGAAAGTGTAAGCCAAATAAACCCTTTCCTCCCCAGCTTGCGTTTTGGTCATATTTTTTGTCTCAGCAATAGAAACTCTACCCAAGTGGCTCTATAACACTTTCTACACTAACCTGGAGATGGAATGAATGCTTGTGACCATATCAAGAGAGAGAAATGGGAAAGGGTAAAGACTTCTTGATGTGCATGGTCACATAAGTTGTGTATGGATTGTATACACCAAAGTTATTTTTTCTGTACATTCATATGTTGAAACTTAAACTCCAACCACAACCAAGGAGAGTTTAACATCTAGCTAAATAAAATTCGCTTATGTTCTACTTTGTCTTTTGAACACTGGCAAACAAAGGCAGCTATTATATTTATATTTAAAAAGAGGAAATCACACTGTTTTCCAAGAGGGCTGGACTGATGTACATTTCTATCAACAACGGACAAGGGCTCCTTTTCCTCTGAGTCTTAGGCAGGCTCTCGTGAGACTCTGGCAGACATTCAACTCACTATGCAGCTGTAGTGGTCTGAATAAGAATGACCTCCAATTGACTCATATATTTGAATGATTGTTCCTCAGTTAGTAGAACTGTTTGGGTAGGGCGAGAAGGTGTAGCCTTGTTGGAGAAGGTGTCCATGCCATTCCCAGTTAGCTCATGCTTGTGGAGCAAAATCTAAGTTCTTCGCTACTGCTCCAATGCTATGCCTGCTGCCTTGCCTGACTGCCTGCTACTGTGTTCTCAGCTTGATAGCCATGGGCTCACCCTCTGAAACTAATTTACTAAATGAAAAACTTTCTTTAATAAGTTGCCTTGGTCACTGCGATTAGTCAAGGCAGTAGAAGTAACTAAGATAGTAGCCAAGGCTGACCTGGAATCGTCAGTCTCCTGTCTCCACCCTCCAAAGTCTGGAATGAGATGATATATCATTTGCGTTTCTTTTCTGTTTATTTACAGAAAGATTATTTTACCCTTTAAAAATGTACTGTGTGTGTGTGTGTGTGTGTGTGTGTGTGTGTGTGAGTCTAAGTATGTTTTTATGTCTCAGCAGAGGTTTGGAGATCAGAAAATGACTTTCAGGAATCAGTTCTCTCTCCCCTCTGCCTTGTTTCTACAGCCCAAATTTCAGGATAGATGACCCATGAGCTTCTGGGCAGTTCTCCATTTCCACCTGCCCCCCTCTCACCATAAGACTGCTTGGAATACATGTAAGAACCATGACATCCTGCTGTTTATATAGGCTCAGCAGGTTGAACTCCAGTGTCAGGCTTGTGTAGCAAGCCCTGTGAGCCTTCTCTCAGCCCACATTCTATAGTTCTTTGATGATTAGTGATGTTGAAAATTTACTTCCATAAACTTGGACATTGCTATATATATTTTGAAAAGCATTTGTTAAATAATTTGTCCATTTCTTTTTTTAAAAAGATGTACTATACACATATATAGAATTCTCATTGTATCAACTAAAATTGTGAAAAAATTCTTTTCAGAAAAGAAATTCTTTAAAAAAAAATCCTCATTTTTATGACATTTTCCAAATTGTTGATAAAATACAGCTAATATCTAGATCTTGATAGAGCCCCGAGTTGCCTCAAGAATGACTCTGGAGTGAAATCACAGTGCACACACAGAATGTTGCTCATTAATTAATTAGTTAATTAATTAACCACTAATGGACCACTTTACTTGTCTCCTCTTACCCTGAACTTGTTCTGCTGTGACATATAAGAGGCTGGGCAAATTAAAAATGTTTTTCTGTAAAAGAGACTTGGTACAGAGGATCTTCGCGTAAAGCAGGAATGTCAATAGAAATCATAATGAAGACTGATCTGCCTTTCTTAGCACTACTTTTAGAATTCTTGGTGGCAAACAGCTCTGATTCTTACCTTTAGTAACTGAATTAAAGGGACAAGAAACTGCCACCATTTTTTTCCTTAACATTTATATATCTGCAGAAAAATCTGGCTTCCACACAAACCAAATCATTGTGAATATAAAGCAAGTTTAGTATGTATGCACACTCAACATTTTTTTTTTTGAAAAAAAAAATAATCAGCAACGTTGAAGTAGAAGATGCAGCTTCATATGGCTGAAATTAGATCTAACAGCAATCTTTAATACTAAATTTTTCTCTGGCAGCCGGGCGTGGTGGCACATGTCTGTAATCCCAACATTATGAGAGGCAAAAGCAGGAGGATTTCTATGAGTTCTAGGCCAGCCTGGTCTACTAAGTGAGTCTAGGACTACCAAGGCTACACAGAGAAACCCAGTCTCAAAAACAAACAAACAAACAAACAAAAAAGTTCTCTGGCATTTTCCCAAGAAGAGAGATCACTTTTTTCCCTCCCTCCCTCCCTCCCTCCCTCCCTCCCTCCCTCCCTCCCTCCCTCCCTCTCTCCCTTTCATCTTTTCTTCTTTCCTTCCTTCCTTCCCTCCTTCCTTCTTTCCTTTTTTCTCTCTTCTATTTTCTTGAGATTATAATACAATTACATCATTTATCACTTCCCTTTTCTTCCTTCAAACACCCTCTTATGTGCTCCTCCTTTGTCTTTTTCAAATTCGTGGCTTCTTTTTTGCATTCATTTCTGTTATATGCATACGTATGTGTAATATATAATATATATTCCCAGATATAACCTGATCAGTCTGTATAACATTACTCACATGTGTTTCCAAAATAGATGGGGGAAAGCCCACAAGGCCTTCCCTAAGGAAATAGCTTAGTAAACTAAGGAATGCTAAGAGCAGGAGAGAGCTAGAAGAGAGCATAGAAATTGGTTATCCAATAGCAAATGGTCAGCCCTGAAAACATACACATAAGATCATTTTCTTACTTCAAGTAATTTGGAGTGACTGTTAAAAATGTATCTTAGGAGGACTCTTTCTTGCAAAAACAGCATATGAGCTTCCTTTTCTGTCACATTGTTGGTCCAGATGCTATAATGTGAACACTGCAGTCATTTTTCTCCTTTACTTCCTGTCTTAGTCCATATTCTGTTGCCATCAAAAAATACTCAAAACAGAGTAACTGAAAGGATAGAAAGGTTAGAGGAATTGGAGTTTTTTTTGACTCGTAATTTGGAGATGGGAAAGTTGAAGACAAAGGTAGCAGCATTTGCTTGGCATCAGTAAGGCACTTCGTCCTGCCTCACAGCATGCACAATGCAGCATGTGAGATGCAAACTGGCAGCTTGGTTCTCTCCCTCTTCTAAAGTCAACAAACCTCCAGGGAAACCTGTCTTTACGGCTGCTTCTTATCCTGATTTCCTCCCAAACATCCTTCCTCCAATTAATACATTTGGGAGCTTGCATCCAAGCTGTAGGAGTCTGTTCTGTTGCTTAAGGGTACCACAACACACCCCATCTTTTTAATTCACCTCTGTGTAAATACACTTCTGTGTCTACAGTGGGCATTTGGCCCAGTTCTGGTCAATACATGGAGTGTTGCTCTCCTCAGTGACTGGTCAAGATTGCTTTTGGTCTGAGCCAAAACAGTGAGCCCTTGTTCGGGATTTCTAAACTGATGGCCACCATGACATCTTGTTCCTCATGGGAAAGTCTACAGATAAGGGCACTCAAGGAAGAATGTAAAGCTAATAATAGCTTAAAGCCATCCTTTGACGACTTAGATTCAGCTGCAAGCGAAGACCTGATTCCAGCTGGATGGCTTTACTCTGTCTTTGCTCCCTGCTTCCTAACCCCCTGGTCATTTCCCAAACACCTTCTCAGACTTCCCTTGGTCACACCTTCCTAGTACTTCCTAGCACAAACCTCTTGCCTCGATAACCGCTTTACCTGTCCTCACACTGTCCAGGCAGTGCAATGCCTACCTGGTCTCTCTCACATGAGGACTTGCACACAAACCTTGCCTTTTCACTTACTGATGCTGTCGCCCACCCTCAGCAGGTCTTCTTCCGAAGAGAAGTCTTATCTGTTTGTCTTGCCCATTCGTCTTCATCTTTCTCACAATGTGCATATTCAATTTTGTCACCACACAGCCATTTTATTAAGGCACTTTGAATTAAGTTACCTGTTTCTTCATAAGCCATTGAACAGACTGAGAAGATTGGATTTAGGAATGTGCTTGTGTATACATATATATACATTAGTTTAACAGCAATCAGTAAAAAAATTTAAAAAAAAGAGACCATGAATTTGAAAGAGAAGGGTATATAAGGGAGGTTTTGAAAGAGGAAAGGGAAGGGGAAAATGATGTAATTGCATTACAATCTTAAAAATAAAAGAAATAATAAAAAAGCAGACTGACCTTTTTGGAACGAGTTAAGGACTACTATTCAAAAACAACATAAGCCTATGTTCTATGTAAAATATTTTGTACTAAAATGTATTGAGTATAAACTAAACCACAATTAAAGTGATATCATATAGACATGTAGACGAGGACCCTTCCTGATGCCTCCTTCAAATGGGACTTATTCAAATGCATGAAGCCCTAGGTTCAATGTCTAGCACTGCATGCATTGAAGGTGGTGCAAACCTATAATTCCAGCACTCTGGAGGTAGAGGCAACATGGTCAGAAGTTCAAGGTTATCCTCAGCTACTTAGCCAGTCTGCAGCCAGCAGCCAGTTATATATGAGATCTTATCTCAAAATAGGTAAATAAAATAATATACCTATAGTTGAACTTATTCCAGGACCACTAAATTATAATGTCTAGAAATTGGGCCTTGGAATACCCAGTTATGAATAAATTCCAACTACCTTCAAAGCACATGAGGCCTTAAGCAGCACTGCAGTGTCTGTGCATGTCTGTAGATATTCTTTATATATAGTATATGATGATACAATGTTCTTGTGGAATGTATACAATTTACCCTTGTTCTTTCAAATGCTGATTTCTCTACCCCACTATCTGGTTTCTAAGCATCACCCTTCTCAAGTTTGTGTAAACATGCCACCATTTGTTCTCAGTAATTTTAAAGAAACAACCAGCCAATACTGAGCAATGGAGAGAATAGGGTGGGGCATCCTGGAGGGGAGGAGAAGGAAGGGAGTGGGAGGAGTTGGAGAGAAGAGATCAGGAGGAGATGACTTGGAACCACCAGGAGAGATGAACTGGACCTAAGATATGACTAAAAGCAAGTATAATGTGAGAAATCTGAATGGGAGGAAACAATGTTGGCTTGGGGGTTTAGGATGGAGTAACTATTGACCAGCATTGAGCTTTAGGTTAATTAAATAAATCCTAGTCTCTGTGTGGTGATCCGGGTATGCAGCTGGTTTAGGAATAATGACCGTTTAACTAAAACATAAATCAATATTAAACATTAATAATTGACAACAAGTATATGTATTCTTTTTCTTTTCTTTTAACTGTAAAGTGTCTGATTTAGTTTAATTCTGTTGCTATGAGAAAAGCACTCTAGCCAAAAGCAACTCAGGCAAGAAAGTGTTTATTTCAGCTTACAGGTTAGAGCAAATCATTGAGGAAAGCCAGGGCTGGAGCTGATTCACAACTTAGAGGCAGGCCTGTTTGCTATTCTACAGCGCATTACCTCTGACTATGGAACCCACTTAACTAAGAGGCACAGCCAGAGTGACGGAGAATGATGTTTCTTGTTTGGCTTAAGGCTCAGTTTGTACTCAGCCAGCCTACTCACACAGATCAGAACCACCTGCCTAGGGAGGACGTTGCCCACAGTGGGCTGGATTCCCCCCACCCACATCTATTATTAACCAAGATAATCCCCAACAGACATGTCCATAAGACACTTTGACATAATTAATTTCTCAGTGGAGGTTTGTTCTCTCAGATGTCTGTAGACTATGCCAAGTAACAGTTAAGGCGAACCAGGATGCTCTCCAAGTGTAAAGAAAGAATATCTCATTTAGAAAATTGAGACAGAATGTAAACACCTCAGGTAATTTAGAGGTTATGTGTACTAGCCAGTGTTGGCTAATATACATGTGAGAATGACTGGCTGAAAGGATTAGTGATCAACAACTTCAAATGTTTCATTCTTAGGCATTCTTATTTCCACTGTTAGATGTGACAGAATTCTGGATGAAACAAGAACAAAACACGAGAACTCTTTCCGCATACAGCTAGAGCAGAGGATAAAAAGAGCAGGTGGCCAGCGGCCAGCTCTTGAGTTGTCTACTCAGAAATGGCAAAGGTTTCCCATAGCTACCTTACATGGGCCAAATCAGGTTGGACGACTTGTGTCAATGGACTAGTAAAGACAGAGAATGTATCTACAGAAAAGGGTATACCAGGGAGGAACACCAAATATTTTGAAGGAAATGTAACTGACCTAACAGGACTTTTGATAAAGTCAGAGGAGGGAATCAGTGGTCAGATGAGTGTAGGGCCAGTTACACACTACTATGTAGTATGCAAACCAACTCAAAAGGCCCTCGTCCTGCAGTGGAGAAAAGGAAAACCAAATTGGTTAAACCCTGTGGGCCATGTTTATTTCCATTGGCTACCTGTTCTTTCTTTTTCTTTTTCTTTCTTTTCTTCCCAGACAGGGTTTCTCTGTGTAGCCTGGGCTGTCTTGAACTCACTTTGCAGGCTGGCCTTGTATTCATAGATACCTGCCTGCCTCTGCCTCCCAGAGTGCTCGGATTACAGCCTTGCACCACCATGCCTGGCTTCCATTGTGGACTTTCAAGCAGAATCTCAACATACCTCAACAATGTGGGCTGCGCTAGGCTGGGGAGCCTCTGTTACAGACACAGCGCTGCCTTGCTGTTTTCTGCAGAAAAGTGTGAATTATGGGAAATCCCCAGCAGAATATCTCACCACAAACTTTCAGCTACTAACATCTTTAAACAAACAGACAAAAAAACAAATCTAGTATTCCAGTAGGTGTTCTAAAAAGCCTGGGGAATTCTATGCAAATATCTTTAATATTATGCTAACATTATGCTAATATTATGTTACAGGCTGTTGAAATTTAATAGTGTTAATGGAGAGCTCAGGTGAAGTGACTCTAAAAAGCTGGTTCTTCCGGGTAGGTGAGAGTTCCAGAAAAGATTTTGCTTTTAAACCCTTTTCATGACTCTGTTTGGAATTAGGCAATTCCTGTAAGTTAAAGCAGCACACCTTTGTTTCCCCGTTTATGGGAAACTTGACTTTAAAATTCACAAGCAGCTCTGTAGATATAAATACACACACACACACACACACACACCATTGACATCACTGGAGCGTTTCTGCTTTCTTTTCTCTCATTTCAAGTACCTCCTTACACCTCTCCTTCCTAGCCTCCATGATGCGTAGCGTTTCTGCTGCTATTTCTTGGTCTTGTTCCAAATTATCAGCCTCTCAGATAAAAGGTCCCTGGGTATTCTCTTAGATTTACTCGTCAGTAATGAGTTCCTCCAGTGTCTGCCTCTGATGCTCCAAAGTCCCTGTCTGCCTCTGCCATAGTGAGGGGATTCATGGTGTGGCCTCCTCACTCAGCTGAATCTGTCTGTTCTGCTTGTTGTTCCTGGGCCATGTGCCCCTATTCCAAGGTCTTCACCTGATGCCATACCTTCACCTCACAATTCACCTCACAATTCTTCCTTCTCCTGTTACCATAGTTTCACTAACAACTGTGTCTCTTAAACAAACAAAAAAACCTGTCATGATCTCTAGTCCCTCCACTTCTGTCATTCCTAGCTGCCGAAGGATGCCCAATAGCCTGTGTGATATTGGAAATATGAGAGCTGACACTTTCTTTCTATCTCCTCATGCCCCTGTGTTCAGATAGGATGCCATTTGCTGGTGTTCTAAATACAGTCTAAAGGTTAGAAAGAGAGCGTGTGCTACCCACTTTTTATCCTCTAAGCCAGGCATGGGAATGAACCACCTTAAGTCTCAGTACTTGACAGGCTAAGACAGGAGTATGGTGTTTGAATTAGAATGGCCCCTATAGGCTCATAGATTTCAGTGCTTGGTCACCAGGGAGTGCCACTGCTAGGAAGTGTGTCACTGGGGGATGGGCTTCGGGGTTTCAGAAGCCCAAGCCTGGTCCAGTCTTCCTGCTGCCTGTAGGTTCAGATGTAGAACTCCCAGTTACCATGTCAGCCTGTGTGCGGCCATGCTCTCCAACATAAGGATAAACGACTAAGCATCTGAAACTGTAAGCCAGCCCAAAATAAATGCTTTTCTTTAGAAGAGTTGCTGTGGTCATGGTGTCTCTTCACAGCAATGGGACAGTGACTAAGACAGAAGGCAGGCTTGAAGTTAGCCTGAGGTCACAGAAAGAGACCTGTCTTAGAAAAAAGAAAAGAAAATCAGCCAGTTTCTCTGTGCCTCGGTTTGCTCATCTGTTAAGAAATAAACCACTTGCCCACCAGAACTTAACAAATCCCCGCTGTTTAGTACATCACCTGTGGGGCTGACGAACAAGGCTAAAGTTGATACTGACCAGAAATGTACCAGCCAACCCCATACCCACCCTCACTGGCTAGCTTTCATAGTACTAGATGGTGCTAGGCAGGCTCCCAGAGTTGGAGGAGGGGAGTCATCTCCTTTCCCCAGCTCTGAACTCTGGGTGCTGAAGTAAAGACTGACGTGGCAAGATATATCTGTAGTTGTAACAGTTGTATGAATCTTATAAATATAACCAACTGCGGTCTGATTTAATTGAAGGGCCATTGCATGAGTGGAAATACAACCATGGTTGGGGAGCGCAGAGGCCCCAGGAACAAAACTACTAACACTATTCTGGTAAATAGAGGTAGTATCCAACTACCTTCTAAATCCTTGTCTCTGTACCCACAGGTTGGAGCAGCTACCAGACCTCATCAGAGAAGTGTCTTCTGACACCATATGGCGATTAATGCAAAAACTTGTATCTGGTTAAAGTACAGAAAATAAGGGTCAGTGGAGTGCTCGGCTATAAATGAACCATCCACATCACATCCCTCTCCCAAGACTCAGAACCACAGAAGAAGAAAAGGTAGAAAGATGATACGAGTCAGATATCTGAGAAGACCAGAGCAAAACTGTCTTCTGCACGTAACAGGACTCTTTCATGTCACTCCTTGGCTTCTGCTAGGTTTCTACCATTTAAAGACAAAAATTCAAGGTTTTCAGTATGGTCTTTAGGATCCTTTAACATTCTGTCCCCAGACTACCTCTGCTTTATATCTGACTTCCTACTCACTATACACAAAATTTATTCCTTGGCCCACAATCAAATTTCTCACTGTCTTCAGACATTCTATGCCCTGCCCTAGCTTTGTGCCTCTATTTAAGTCAGCTTTATTAAGGCAACCTGCTATAACAACCATCCTCACTTCCTGTGGGGCTTAAACATATGGGGTTAGTTCCTGCTGTATTAATTATACATTTTTTTGCAGGCGTTCCTTAGCTCTATTTCAGAGTCTTGATTCTGGTAGCAAAAATGAGCCACCCCTTTCTGACATGGATTTCTCCCATAGAAAGGAAACAGAAACATTGGAATGTCTTGACAGAGTTTAAGGTTTTGATTGAAAATGCACAAAACTCTTTTAACTAATATTTTATTGTCCCTAAGCAAGTTGAGGAACCAGCCTTGGCCTTAATCAGGGGTGGGAAGTCTAAACCTATCACAGGAAGATGAAAGAAACAATTAGCAATAACAATATAATAATCCTCTCAGGTTCCCTGTGTTTGAAATGCCCCTGCATGTCTTTCCTCCTGCTCTGTTGACAAGAGCTTTTACTGTTGCCAGCAGGCACAGTCATCTCACTGGTCTGCATTTGCTCAGGATTCTGGCCTCACTTCTGATAAAGGGCTTATCAGTGTATGCCACAAAGAGTATCTGTTTACATCTCTCGTGGGCAAGGATCACTTCTTGGTTTCCCTCTTCCCAGTCCCAAGCACCTCAGAACATGTTGACAGAAAGAATGAAGAAAGCGGTTTGTTACTTTATCAGGCAAGGCAGGAAAAAACATTTTTCTGTATAAGCAGATGTTTGTGACACTACATCTTTATTTGTGAGTAGGAGATGTGAAGACAAGTGAGGAAGGCAGTTTTAACCTTTTTTTTCCACACCACTGAATGTTTGTGTCATTTTCTTATTTTTCCTTCTGTCTGTTGCTATGTACCAAGAGCAAAGGTACTGTTTACGCATGTAGCCGTGGGCTATAAGAATACTCTATTCAAATGAAGACAGATCATGTCTTACAACGTTTGTAAAACTTGGCTATAAATCAGAGGATTTATGAAACAGACAAAACCATAAAAATTATCTCAATGAATCACCAGTTTCTTGTTTTGGAAACTTTTTTTTCCTTGAAAATACTACAAGAAATCGCTGAGCTGTTCAGTTTTGTCCACAGTGTACTGCAAATTCATCTGCAGCAGGTCCTTATTTAGTGACTCATTCAGCAAAGGTCCTCATTCGGTCCCTGTCACTCACTCAGTCCCTGTCACTCCTCCCTGAAGGTCACTGAGCCCTGTGCTTGCCCTGCCCCCAATATCCTCCTGCTCTGCTCCAAGGCCCGTTTAATATGGATAATGTTTGAATCAGGCACTATTTAACTTCTCTCCCTGCTTTTTTGTCATGGTCCCCCAAACAGAGTACAGTCCCTCCCAACAGACAACCCCAGGACTCATGATTTCTTGTCTAATAAAATTTTGACTTTATGATGATGTAAGAGTGATACATATTCAGGAGTAATCACACCCTAAATTTTGAACTTCAATTCTTCCCCACCCAGAGGAGAAATACTCAGCATGGTGCTATCACAGTGCAGGGCAGTGCAGTGAACCACAGCTCCCAGGTCTCCGGGGGTCACAAGGGTTAACAATAGAGCTCTGTACATGCTATGTGGTTAATGCATGATGCTGGAGAGTCAAATGTTTTTTTCACCCAAATGTGGGGGTGTGAGAGCCCCACTGGGGGCTCATGATCACCTGGATTTGTTTATGTGTCTGTTTCTTCTTAATGGAACCAGAGTCCTCTGCCACCATGCACTTTAATTCTCTTTACTTGGAGTTGGCAGCCAGCACTAGAGCAACATGCTCAATTAATGTTTAATACATTAACCTGCTGTTAAACTGAAGACAAAACTTGCAGTTGGTAAATTTTGTAGTCTGTTAAGAGTAAGATTTTACCCAGGTTTCTCCTTCTTGCTTAGCTTCTTTAGGTGTACAGATTTTAGTACGATTATCCTATAGTATATGTCTAATAGCCACTTATTCTGCTTCTGGGATACCTCACTCAGGATGATCTTTTCTAGTTCCCACCATTTGCTTGCAAATTTCATGATTTCCTTGTTTTTAGTTGCTGAGTAGTATTCCATTGTGTAAACGTACCACAGTTTCTGTATCCATTCCTCAAATGAGGGACATCAGGGTTGTTTCCAGATTCTGGCTATTATGAATAAAGCTGCTATGAACATAGTTAATCAAATGTTCTTGTTGTATACTTGAACATCTTTTGGATATATGCCTAGGAGTGGTATAGCTGGATCTTGAGGTAAGATGCTCAATCTTCATTCAGAAAGGCAAACAGGGTGAAAACAAGGAATAAGACAGGAGCCTACCATAGATGGTGTCTGAAAGTCTCTACCCAGCAGAGTCTTAAAGCAGATGCTGAGACTCATAACCAAACTTTGGGCAGAGTGCAGGGAATCTTATGAAAGAAGGGGGAGATAGAAAGACCTGGAAGGGTCTGAAGCTCCATAAGGAGAACAAAAGAACCAAAAAATCTGGGCTCAGGGGTTTTAGCTGAGACTGATACCTCCAACCAAGGACCATTCATGGAGATAACCTAGAACCCCTGCTCAGATGTAGTCCATGGCAGTTCAGTGTTGAAGGGGATTCCTTAGTAAGGGGAACAGAGGTTGTCTCTGACATGAACTCAGTGGCTGGCTCTTTGATCATCTCCCCTTGATGGGGGAACAGCCTTATCAGGCCTTATCAGAGGAAGACAATGCAGCAAGTCCTGATGAGACTTGATAGGCCAGGAGGTCCTTCACTATCAATGGACTGGGGAAAAGACATGGGAAGAGGTGAGGGAGGGATTGGAAGGGGATGAGGGTGGGGCTACAGCTGGGATACAAAGTGAATAAATTATAATAAGTAAAAAATTATATTAAAAAAGAGTACGATTTTAAGCATATTTTGTTGTGACACGGTATATGCTAATTTTTCCATGAGTTGTGCAGAATGAATTGTTTCTAGTAGACTCTGTATGTGAAGTTCATCAGTCAAATATAAGTTCCGTACAAGAGTTTTTGGAAGTGAAACCATTCTCACAAAAACTTATTAAAATATTTAACAGAAAAAAATTTTTTTAAATCCACACCAGAAGCTCATTCTGAAATATCAAAAATAAATAACTCAGATTGCATTAAAAAGCTCATGCACCACCAAAGAAAAAGATTACTACAGTGAAGAGACAACCTATGGGCTTGGAAAATAGTTGCATTCTGCATACCCAATATAGGGGTAATATTCAATACTTAAAAAAACTCTTATAATACAAAAGCAGAAAAAAATCAATTAAAAGATAATCAAAAGATCTGAGCAGACAGTTATCCAAAGAAGATTTAAAAAAAAACAACTGGTCAGCATCATTAACATCATATTCTTCATCGGAAAAATGCAAAATAAAACCACTATGAAACATCACTTTACAAAACTCATTAGGAAGGCTGCTGTCAACTGTTAGAAAAGATGGGAACAAAAGGAAGTGCTGAGAAGCAATACGTGTGTTGGGGGTGCTCATTGGTTCAGCCATCATGTAAAATAGTCATTGATCCCTAAAGAAATTAAAAATTAGGGCTATGATATGGCCCAGCAAGGCTTTTTCTAAAGTTTGCAGAGTGACGAACCTGTGGAAAGATATGCACTCCTGTCTTTATTACCGCATTGTTTGTAATAGCCAAGAGAGAGGAACAGACAGTGGATCCATCAATAGACAAATGTAAGGAAACTGTGACATATATAAATATTATTCACCCTTTAAAGAGGAGACTCTGTCAGTTACTGTGGCATAAATGGACCTGGATGACATAATGCTAAAGGGAGTATACCAAACCAGAGAGAAAATACCGCAAGCTCTCCTTTATACTTGGAATCTGAGGAATGAATGCATACACAGAAGATAACATTTATCACGAGGAGTGGAGTTAGGGACAAAGGAGGAAGCATTGGGAAAATACAGGACAAATGACACAATGGAGCAGATGTAGGAGGAACGCGTATCAAGTTCTAATGCACAGTATAACTTGTTTATCATACTACACATGAGAATTGTAGATGATAAATATGCTAAATTTGTTTCATGGAACAAACCATCTTACTATTGTATATCGCAGAATGTCACATTGCAAACCTCAAATATAAATAATGAAATGTATTTAAAAGGAAGAAATAAATACCTTTAAAAAGAACTTTTTTTTCCTTCAGGACAGACATGATGGTGCATGTCTGTAATCCCAGAACTCTGTTGGTAGAGGCAGGAAGAGCAGGAGCTCAAGATCCGCTCCACTGCACAGTCAGTAAGAAGCCGACCTGATCTATATGGGACAGTGTATTGCAAACAAGTGAAAAAACAACCAAAACCCAACAAGAAACATTAGCAACATTTCGTAAATACTGGAGGTCAAAGGAAAAGTGAGAAAACATTTATGTGTTTTTATCGTTGGTGCAGAAAAGCAAGCACATCACTCAGACCTACAGCTCAAGAACAATTTCAAGTTATATATCTTAGAAAAACTATTCCACATGCTGATTTAGCCAGAATCCTCTCAAAGAAAGGAAGCCAAGTGCAAATTGCTCTATTTAATTATCTCAAGAAGGAAAATTTCACTTTGGTAACGGTACTACATGTTATGTAAGAGAGCATGAGTGCAGAGAGAGAAAGGGTGAAGGAGGGTGCAATTAAAATAAACCTTCCCAGAGTCCTGCATCACATTCAGGGGCATGGCCAGAATAAGCCCAGCTACTGACTATTGCCCGGGTTGTGTTTGCAGGTTGTCTTTTATCGTAGCCCTTGCTTGAAAATCATAGTTAAGCACATAAGGGCTCCCAACATTCAGTGATCTCCATGTGCTTCCCATTAGGGGCAGCAGAAGAAATGCTGTGGTGGCTCCTGCAAATTGGATGGGGCTTTTCAGATCCTGTTCCAACTTGGCAGGCCGATACTGTGCCAACCTAGACATCAGGAAGGCCTGGGTCATTCCAAAGAACAGGGGCATAGTCACACAGAGGTTGGGTGACCCACACAGTCTAAATTGCTGGTGCACTCTCATCATTCTGCATCTAGCTTGCCTTAAAATTACCGTCTACCTCATTCAACATAGCAGCATATTTCCCATGAGACCTCTTCCTGGCTGACCCACTGTGGATTTGAAGGCTCCTTAGACAGCCTGTCAATTCTCTTGTTTAGTCACTCTCTACCAAGACGTTTGATTCACCCAGTTCAATGAGTCCTCTTCTGGACCTCCCATCCACAAACAGGAGACTATGGTAGCACCAAGCAACAAGCCAAATGGAGAGTCACCATTTGTCCATGTGTCTGATACAACTCTCCTCTCCTTACTCAACACTAGTCGTGCTAAATATTCACTTCCTCACCAAAATAACATATAAATATATGCCTAGTGGCACTGGTATAAGCCTTTTCTTTTCTGTTCAGAATGAAGCAGGATCATCTGGAGCAAATATGTGTAAGCAAACTCAAAGAATGGACACAGTGGGAGGCCCAGCAGAAAGATAGATTTCACCATGCTCTACAACCATGCTTGCAACCATCATTCTCTTTCCATGCTTTGTCAAAGACAATCTCTGATTGCTGAAGCCATGGCTACTTGCACCTTCTACTGCTTGTAGCCAACACATCCCTATCTCATCCACCAAATCTGTTGATGGAGGCTTAATCAAGGACACTCAGACAAAAGCTAGGGTTATGGGCAACCAGAGTAAAGAGATAATACTTTGGGAGAGAAGGAAGAAGGTTTTCACATTTTCTTGTTGTTTTGGGTGAGTTTCAGAAGATAGAATTCAGAACTTCCATTTTAAAAGATCAGTGCTCACATAAGGACACACCGACATTATAACTTCATTCTTTGACTTATAAAAGTTCTTTCAGCACTAAGAATTTTTACCATCTTGGTTAGATTTTCACTAAAGTTTATAATGTAAGAGAATGTTCTGTTGAGGCAAAAAAAAATCACATTGGTTTAGAATACTTTTCAGGGCATAGAAGCATGGGTCTACAATCCCAGCTACCCAAGAGGCTAACAGGGAGGTTGAGAAGACAAGGCCAGTCTAGCTAGGTGTGGCACGCCTTTAATTCCAGAGGTGGGTGGGTCTCTGAGTTTGAGGCCAGCCTGGTCTGCAGAGTGAGTTCCAGACAGCCAAGGGCTACACAGAGAAACCCTGTCTTGAAAAACAAAAACAGTTCAACAGTCTTGAAATAAAAATTAAAAATCTCTGTCTTGAAATAAAAAGCAATAAAGGGCTGGGTATATGGCTTAGTGATAGAGCGCTTACCAGCATTCATGAAGTCTTAGTTTCAATTTCATTACTACAAAAAATTAATAAAAAGGTATTATTTATTATACAAGATTTGTATAACCTGGCTCCCCTTATGAAACCCCAGAGACATTCAAGTGGGTTCTATAATTATCCTT